AACTGTCTAACCAGTGTTTGCCAATAAATCAGTAACAGTTATTTCAAAAGCTACAGAAGTTAGAATCTCAGAAAGCCTTTTCCCTAACGCTGTTATCTGTATATGGTCACCTTCAGGCACTAGGTGGTTAACTCTACATGTAATTTACACTCACTTTTGCATTCGGGTTCTCTTATGTCATGTATGTGTGTCTTTCATTCACAACTGGCCCTCCTAGTGCCTCTAATGATTAAAGGGTCAAAACAAAGCCAAAGTACTAAATAAAACTACCAGCAAAAGCTCTGGGATTCAACTATCATTTGCCATTATTATTACAAGTAATACTTTGTATGCATAACCCTTGGCTTTTATATCACCGTCTCATCAACTGATAACTAATTGTTTCTACTAGTGATATTCAGTTGAATGAGTTCTTGTATCTTATTTTCAGAGTCAAGATTTACATGAGGGACTAGCAGTATTTACCATGTCCCCCCCTTAAGTCTCCTCTTGCTAGGCTTTGGCATAGCCCTCGCCTTTCCTGCCCAGAATCCATTTATTTCTTCATTCATTAAATATGCACTGAGGGACTGTGAGAGAGGATAGGACTCCATCTGTAACAGTCAGGCGCCTTAAGAAGCCGGACAAAATAGTGTTTATTAACACAACTAGGTTGCATTGCCTAGTTTTGCTCCTCAGACCTCACGTCACTAAAAGAACGAGGACACAGAGCTTGGTTAACTTGTCATTTATGAAACCAATCCACGCACGCCGCAACCCCGGGGCTTGGGGCACTGTTCAGCAAAGAGCGACCCCGGCACAGGCCGTTGGGCGGGGCTTGTGGAAAGGAAAAGGAACTGTGGGAGGAGACCTGGAACCGCAGAGTGAGCCTGCCTAAGAGTGCCTGGACGCCCAAGCCAACGCCGACCGGGAGCGCACCCCCTTTCCTTCCTCCTCAAGGGCCGGGGGCGGGGCAGAGGTACCTAGTTTCTGCCCCAGGTAGGTGAGGCTGTGATAGACCTTCTCGGCCGCGGCCAGGTGCGCCAAGGCCGCCAGCAGCGACAGCCAGCTGCCCCCCGCGCTCTTGTTGGCCTCCCGTTCCTTCTCCACATTGTCCTTGGCCTTGTCGTAAGAGAAGATGCCCAGATGAGAGAAGAACGTCTCCAGGACCGCCTGTTCCACGGGGACCGGGGCGGCCAGCGGGATAGATTCCCCCATGCGACCAGCGCTCCAGCTCCACCCACGTGGCTCCTCGCCTCGCACTTCCGGGTTTCTAGGGGAATGCGCGTGCGCAGCGGCGTGCGTGCGCGTGCCCGCGGCGGGACCTCGCAGGGCGGGGGCCGGGGCGAGGCTGTTCGTTTGCCTCCTGTGCCAGAACCTGGGCGGCGCTGCCCAGCGGTCCGCGGGGAACCTGGGGGGACAAGGACCCCGGGGACGCCCGACTTGTGAGTTCGTGAGGCCCTCTGCGTTCGCAGCCGAGCGACAGGCCCCTCCTGGCGGGCTCACGGCAGCGCTGATGACACCACGCGGCCTTGACGTCAGTCCAAGCCTTGACAGCTGGCCTGGACTCCTGAAGGGCCCGGGGAGCCGAGCGGAAGGAACCATGCTCACCCCCTCCCGGGCCTGTGCCATCCATAATAGCAGCTCTAGCGGTTCAGCGTAGATAGCTGATGAAGTGTTACCTAGTTCTCATCTGGCGGGCTCACGGCAGCGCTGATGACACCACGCGGCCTTGACGTCAGTCCAAGCCTTGACAGCTGGCCTGGACTCCTGAAGGGCCCGGGGAGCCGAGCGGAAGGAACCATGCTCACCCCCTCCCGGGCCTGTGCCATCCATAATAGCAGCTCTAGCGGTTCAGCGTAGATAGCTGATGAAGTGTTACCTAGTTCTCATCCAGCACCTGGCCAACTTCTGGTCAATACCTGACCTGTCTGTGATCAGCTTCCAAACAGCTAGGAGGGACTCCCGCTTGTCCGTCCCTCTCAGACTCCATTAAGCTTCCTTGAAGAGTTCTCAGGATCAAAGACAAATTAACTTGAATTAGTCCGTTTTGTCACACAAGTCCATTTGACATTTAACAACTTAGCTCACGTGTGCTCACTACTTTGAAATTTGCCCTCGACTCATTTGGTGTTTGTTATTTATACATCCCTATTTTGTGTCAGCCACACTGAGTGTATCTTTCCCTTGGCGAGCTATCTCTGTCAGAAACTAGTCTACTTAACATTAAAATGGTTCGTGTGATGTTTCTTGAAAAAAAAATGAGGTAACTCCTTATTTCACTTTTTCTTCAAAACCAGAGCTGTTCTGTCAACACTGCTTTCTATGAATATCCCACTAATCTAGTTTCAGTGTGATAACTGTGCATTTGTTCCCTGTCCTTAAGAATGTAATTGGATAAGTTCGAGCTTTTTAACTGTGTTTATAGAGGAAAGGTGGGATAAAGGGGGAGAAGAGCTAGGGAAGCTTCCGAGTATGGTGGTTCTTGACAAATGAATAAAGTTAAAAATAAAAATGCATGTAGTGCTATCACCCACATCAATAGATGATGCAAAACATTACAGCAAGTGGGCGTGCCCAAGTATGTAAGAATTCCAGTGTTGGTAAAGGCAGCATCATAACCCCATGGGGGAAAGAAGCCTAGTCCGTTAATAGTGAAGGCGACATGTCTACATGGGGTTAAAAAAGACGACTCATTTCCTACAACAAGAAACTATAAAAACCATAAACCTACTAGAAAAACATGCCTTTTGATCTAGAGAAAAAGAAAAACTTATAATCATCAATGAATTGAAAAACTATGCAAAGAAACCTACAGAGTAACATTTCACTATGACGTTTCCAGACATGAATTGGCTATACCCACCCTCTCGTGTACTCTCTTGTCCTCCCTCTATAACCCCCTCTCTCTGGTCCTCCTCCCCAGTTCCTAATAGTCCCTCAGTCATGTATCAAGAAAACACGAAAAATACCTACAATGTATGTGAGAAAGTGCTGATGTTTTAAGTTTCAGTTGATGAAGATCTCTTTCTAATCGGTAAAATAAAAGGCTAAAGGACTGGTGAGATGGTTGAGCAGGTAAGGGTACGTGCTGCCAAAACTGACAACCTGAGTTGGATCCTGGAAACTTGTGTGGTGGAAGAGGAGAACTGAGTCCAGCAAGTTGTCCTCTGACTTCCACATACGTGCCACAGCACGCACATGCACACTCACACGCAAATAAATTCTTTAAAAGTCATGAATATATCAGTCTCAAGAGAAATATAAAACACCAACAATTTTTAATGCCCAACATCAATCAAAGAAATGCAAACTTCACTACCATATTCGTTTTTCATCTATCAGATTACTAAATGAAACTTGTTTTTGATAAAGTGTCTCGCTATGTAGACAAAGCTGGCATTGAACTTGCAATTCTAACTTCCTACTACTAGAATTACAGACATGAATTATGATGGCCAGCCCCCAAATAAAATACGTTTCTGTGTTTTATGGGGGTGTATGTTCCTCGAGTGTGTGCATGAGGAGATCATGTGTCAACAGAGTGGTTTCCCAATTTCTTCCCATCTTATTTTTTTAAGGCAGGGCCTCTCACTGAACCTAGAGCTCATAGATTGGCTAGGCTGTCTGCTCATTGAACTCCAGGGATCCACCTGCAGACATATGTCTGCATGCCCAGCTTGTGTGGATGCTGGGAATTTGAACTCAGATCCGTATGCTTGCACAGCAGTCCCTTTGCTGATTGAGCTATCTCCCAGCCACCCTCCACCAAAAAAGAATTTAAGTACTGATAAACATGTTATGAATCTGTTCTTATTATACACTGGAGATATGAATATATCTTGGTGTCTGAACTTGGTTTGAACTGGAAAACAGCTGGCAGGATATATGAACTGAGAATGTACCTACATATACATACACCACAGTAGTAACTATAGACCCCACACTGTACATTAGATCAGCAGAACCCTATTCATCGTATAATCGAAAGCTTGTACCTTTTGTCATCTCATTTCGCCCAACCTCCAACTATTTGCAATGACCATAACTACTCTCTTATTTGAGTTCAGGTTTTTCAGATTCTACATGAGATCATATGGCATTTATCTTTCTTTGTCTGTTATATTTAACATGATATTCTCTCTAAGTTCAACTATGTTACCACAATGGCAGGATTTCCTTTTTAATGGCTAATACCCCATATATATATATATATA